GGGGGGGGGGGGAATTGGGGCAAATTAAACATAATCCAAATGCATGGTCCCATATAAAACGGTCAAAGTTTCATCCACCACACAAATGTAGAACATTCAACAAAGTGGTAGAGACAGGTATTTAATGCCTACCATCTGCAATATTTTCGTCATTTTTTCTTCACTTTTAATCTTCTTTTTTTTATTTTATTTATCGAAGACAAATACTTGGATCAATTCTGATTTTGTTTAGCCATTGTAGACATGCTTTTAATTTATACATGCCTTACATCATGAAAAACAAATTTCAGCCCAGTAGTTACTTCTTTGTTTGTCGAAAATTTCTTTGACTAAAATCGAATCAATCGCAATATTGTAGTTTTTTTTCTTGTTCTTAGCCAAGAAAATCATATTATCAAATTGCACTGCCATTTGGAACTCAAAAGAAATATGTCGTGTCGAAATAGTTTTTTCGGTGACTGTGATTATGATTGTGGAATGCAAAGTGAAAATGTGTCTGATTTTTATTTTATTTATAAGCACCTATAGAAGCTTATTAACTAATTAGTGTAAATACCAACAAATCAAGAGCATGATTAGTTGAAAATATTTTGATAACTGCACAATTGATATGATTTTTTTGAAACTGAAATTTATGTCCCGCCAACTAAAGATTTTATTTTTAGAGTCAAAATTTATGTTTTTGTTTGTATTTATTAATTAGACATGTGCTTCTACCATATAAAAAATATTATTTTTCTTAAGTTATTTTATCATTGAAAATCAATTGAGATTTAAATTGTATTTTAACCATGCAACATTTATATTAGTAACATGAATAAAATAATTTATATATTTGTAGCATATATTAAGAAAATTAACATAAATAAAAAAAATTATTGGTCTTTCTGATTTTTAGAAAAAAAATATATGTGCCAATCATGCACATATGTACATATAATATTATAAGTAATATTTGAGAATTTAATATTAAAATTTTAGATAATGAACATACTACATTTTCAAAAATTTGATCATTAGAAAAAAAATAACGATTTTATTATTATGAACAATTGTATATTACCATTAGATACTAATTGTTTAATTATTATTATTATTATTATTATTATTATTATTCAAATTATTATTATTATTATTATTATTATTATTAAAATAATTATTTATAAGATTCTAAAGTTGTTTGACTATGCTATTAAAACAATTTACTAATTGTTTTTAAAGAAATTTTTTCATGAGATACAAAAGAAAGATAATATTGATGTTAAAATAAATACCTTAAAACAATTGTTCTTAATTATGTAATTTATATTTATTGTGAATTATTATTAGTTGGTATTTAGCAATAACTATTATATAATATAGTAGAAAAATACATGATTATACTTATTATGGTGTATTAATGTGAGAATAAAAAATATTAATGATAATTTTTGTAACCGAAAATGGAGGGAAAATGTTAGAGGTTTTATTAAACAGGTAAAATTAAATGCTATATGCTAGTAATTATATATATATATATATAGATTTTATTTTTCTAATGAATTTTAATAAATATTATTATATTTTATTATTATTAAGATAAATATAATTTATTTATATATATACAATATGGATGTCAAATTGAAGATCATCAAAAGATGATTAATTAGATATATTGTGTATATAAAACCGATAAGAAATACAAAAATTATCTACTTTTAAAA